CGGGCCCTCGGCGGTGGTGGGGCCGGCCGAGCCCCCGCTGTGCCGGGGGTGTCCCGAAGCTTCGGATATCGGGGGTAGGAGGAAACGCTGCGGCTCTCGGCAGCACTGTAACGGGCCGTGAGCGTGTGTTGCGGAGAGCCACGGCTCCGCTGCACCGGGGAGACCAGCGTGGGGAGCGGGGACTGCTGCCCCTCTCTCCCATCACCTCTGCCCACGCACCGACTGCGACTCTAAGCGCTCCCTGCCTGTCCCTGCTGTCGCTCCGGCACTTGAGTGATGGGGAGACTTTGCCTCCTGTCTGTCCTCTCCTCTCCCTGCTAGAGAAGCAGAGCCACCAGCCAAGTAGCATCTCCACTGGTTTTTGGAGGGGATAAGGTGCCATCAGTCTGCAGCAAGGCAGGGCTGGTCTCTGAAGGAGAGTGAGGTAGTACTGTGTCACAGATACAGCGATGTCATGCTTTGGATATCGTGTGATTGCATGTGCTTCCAGAATTGTCACAGTGTGTTGTTACTGGTATGTTGCATTTACTGTAAGTTAACTTACATCAAATGCAATGTACCAATAGCAATGTACTGTCACAGTTCTGGGGCATTTGTAAATGAAGAGCAAGGCAGGTAACTGCTTTTGCTTTGGCCAAGAGTGTGTGTGATGTTATGGTACAGCTGATACACAGTAAGTTAAAGTTGTGGCTGGCTGTAGTGTGCCACAGGCTGAAATTTTCCTGAATATACATGATGTAACGAGAAAAAAGCAAAGTCTAAACCAACCGATGTACTTGAAACTCTAACCATATCCTGGGTTAAGCCTTTACTATGTTTGTTAAACTTGATAGCAATCAGGAGCAAATGTATGTAGCTCTTTTTACGTGATGGAAATGAGTTCAGTGAAACTTATGGCTCTCTACCAACTCACCACTGTCTGCAGAGTTGGGAGCACACCAGAGTATCTTCGCTTATATCAGTGAAGGACGAAGACAAGTACGGTTTTGCCAAACTAGGTTCCCTACTTAAGTCTTCATCTTTTACTGATTCCTTTCCTGATTCTAGGTTGTGCCTGGGATTTCAGGAAGATTACGTTGTAAAGCCCGTATATATCAACTCATGTTAAATAGAAAGCTTCACTGTATTTCTATTGGATGAACAGTTGTTTGAGACAAAGTAGTATTTAGCTTGCATTAACTACAGACCTGTTTTCAGAACTAGACTTAACACCTTTCAGATAAACTAATGCATTAAGAGTATGGGGCAGCAACAGAGTACTATTGCTTTTGTTAAGTAGCCTCGGTGCCTATTATCAGCATGAAGACACATGGTTAATTTGCCAGGTTTGATCTTTCAGGCAGGGTGAAAAAGGTAATGTTGAAGCATATCAGTAATGCTAAAGTAGAAAAAGCTTGTCTTATACACACACTGGTTTGGGTTTGTTGTGCAGGCAGGGTTGGGGATGACAATGTGGGATGTTGTGGTCCACAGGTGGTCCCAGTTACCAAGTTGCTAATTAAGCATCTGCAGCTTGTTTGGCAAGGAGCTCCCTAGATGAAGTGTAGTCTTGTGGTAACCTAGGTACACTGCTTCAGAGAAGTCTGTGTGCAGATACTCTTGGTGGCATCATGTGACTTGATTTAGCGTGGGGATTTGGGGCCTTCTCCAATTCGAGATGGAAGGTAGGGGAGGGGGAAATGTTGATTGGGTTTTGCTCAGTTAATTGAGACCTTTTTGCTTTTTCAGTTACTCTGCATTGTAAGTTGGGTTTTTGGTTTGGTTTTTTTATTTGTAATCATCAAGGTATTTGCTACTTTCTATCTGGAGAAGGAATAACTTCCTCCAAATATGACTTTAAGAAAGTATTGAATAGGTATTACCTCTGAATTTTAGGTAGTGGTTTGGTAACTGTTCAACTTGCTTGTCCCTGTCATCTGACTCCTTATGGGTGATTGTTTCTCGTATAGATTGGGTGTTTGGGGTTTCTCTGGCTCTCAGAACTGACGTGGAAGTTAAATGAGGCTGACCTGGTGCCTTACCTTCTAGTTGTGTTGGATATCTTTCCAGTGCAGTGTTAAAGCTTGCCTTTTCAGAAATAAAGGTCTTTGTTAAAAACAACCATCATGATTCATGCCCAGTGTCTATTCTTTCACAGCATCTTGTCTTTGAGGGCCACTAGTGGATGTTCAGAGATAACGATAAGGTTGGGTTACGATTGGAGGGAACATTTTGGTGGTGTTTTCCCTGTTCTCAGCCATTTGAGGTTTAAGGACGTACTAGGTTGGAGGATACTCCTGTTACTGTGTTCAGTAGCCCCTGATAGGGATTTTGGCTTGTGTACTTATTTCATGGTTGTGAATCCTGCCTACCCCCTGCAGTGGACAGTAACTCTTAAAGTAAGCTGATTCCTATATTCTTGGTTGTTCTTCAAGAAAAGGACCAAGCCTTGTCCCACTGAACATGTGAGTACTTGCTGCAGAGTGGACTCATATTTAAGCTTTCTTAGTTTAATTCACATAGAGTTAGTGCAGACACAATGTGTCCTGGTTTCAGCAGGGATAGAGTTAATTTTCTTCCTAGGTGCTGCTGTAGTTTGGGTTTAGTATGAGAATGTTGTTAATATATTGGTTTAGTTGTTGCTAAGTAATGCTTATATTAAGTCAAGGACTTTTTCAGCTTCCCATAGAAGCTGAGAGGGAGCACAGAAAGCACAAACTGGCCAAAGGAGTATTCCATACTGTAGTCATGCCTAGTATATAAACGGGGGCAGAAATTGGCGATCACTGCTCGGGATGGGCTACCATTATTACTATTATTTTCTCTTCTGTTACTGTTCTACTAAACTGTCTTTATCTTAACCCAAGAGGGTGGGGATTTTTTCCCTTTTTCTCCCTTTTCTCCCTATCCTACTGAGGCAGAGGGGGAGTGAGCAGCTGCGTGGTCCTAGTTGCCAGCTGGGGTTACACCACAACACAGGGATTTGGAAGCAGTGCACCATGTTGCATCTGCTCAGTGTCCCTATCCTCTTCCTTCAGGTGCAGACTTATTCTTGTCTATGTGTGTTTAAAAATAAAAAAATAATCATAAGTGACCATAGAAAACTGGTGTTATAAGGGGGAGAGAGGAAAAAAGGCAAAGGGGAAGATATGCCCTGGCTTGGGTGGGATCTCTTCTGGCCTCTCTTTCCAGCCTTGTGAATGACTTGCTACAATACAGGACAGCCACTTCTATTTTCTTTTTCCTTGACTTCCACCCTCTGTAGCAGTTGTGGGAGAGACAAAACAGAACAAACTTGCCTCTGTCAAATAGCAATTTCATCTTGATTTGGAAAGAGACATACTTTTCCTATCTGGATGGAGACTGACACTCAGTATCTGAAAACTGCCTTAAACTAGCTGAGACCTAGAAGCTTGGCAGCCTCTACATCTCTTCCCACTTCTGTGTTTAGTAAAGGGAGAGCGGAGTTATCAGCTTATATATAATGTGGTGTTCAGATTCACAAAGAAAAGTTCAGTAGTCCCTGAGCTGCTGCTTGCTCTGGAGTTCATTAATGTTGTCAGAAGTTGAGTTCTATTTTTGGAATATTCCTCGAATCCAGTCTCTTCCGTATCTTCTTCTAATGACTTAAAGTAGAAACTCGAATTGTGCTACAGGCTTTCAGAGCATCTGAATTTTTGAGCCTTTCAGAAATGTAGTATGAGAAAACTCTTTTCAAAGATGTTCTGTAGAAAAGAGATTTTGTTTGAGACTAAAAATGTCCCTTGATCTAGGTGTTCTGTGCTTTAGCTCATCATACTAATGCAGAAACCATGTGAAACAGTTTTAAACTTTAAAGGCTTTCCTTATTCTAGCATGTGATAAAACAAAAATAACGTTTGGTAGAGCACATCTACACTATGTTTGTGCATCTATACGTGAATAGTTTTTAAAAATGTCTTGCCCTGTGGAAGTGTTCTATTTTTTTTTAATTCCATATTGTGAAAAAACATTTGTTTACAAAGCACCCAGTATGGGACAAGTAATGGTGGAGAGCATTAATAGACATCCTGTAGGGTGAACAATCGGCTTCAAGTAGGACATAGTGTGCCTTTTCCCTAGCCTGATAGTTAGGGCATTTGTTGATAGGACTTTAAACAGCCATCATGGAATTGTTGTTGGAGTAGGGACCAGTCTCTAATCTCCAATTTATTTAAGTGATC